ATTTTACAAAAGTTTTATTTGAGGAAATTGGAAGTGTAGGGTAAATTCTGTCTTCTCATGCCAAATTAGGATTAATATTGAATTTTTGTAAATGTGAAATTCCATCATTCATTGGAATAGAGAATTCAATTGGAACTTCTCCTTGTGTTTCGGAAGAAACCATTATATTAAAAAGGAAATAATTAATTTTTGTTTAAATTACCTAAAGCATAAATAAATAAAAGGTATATCATAATTACAGTCATAATTACATTTTGGTCATCATTAATTATTTAATTAAAGAAATACTCGAACGTTTAATAAATCTTTAAATTTTTTCATTCAAATTTGCCTCTAATATTGTATTTTAAAAATAATCCAACCAAATACTGAATATAAATACAATTATTTTTGTGCTTAAATGTATTTTCTTTTTTAAATAATAAAAAGTTGAAGAAAGTAACACAAGAATGAAACCTGTGGATTACTTTTGTGGAGCTGTAATGTCAAAGTATTACTATATTATCAATATATTTCAATAATTATGAACGATAAAAGTAAATCAACTAAAATAAATAAGAATTATTAAAAATATTCTAAATAAATGTTAAATCCACCGTTATTTATTTATTTCTTCCTTTCACTTCAAAATTAAATTAGACATTTTTTTTGAATATTCGTCCATCTAAGAGCCTAACAAAAGCTTAAACTAAACAAACCGATTAAAATACAAAAATTTGTAATAACCTAAATCCTCCACTAGGTTGGTCTTTTATATTTTAAAAAATAATAAATTAATAAAAATATCTTTAAATTTAACATTTTATCTTTAAAAAAAATACTTATAAAATTTTAGAAGTTTTAATAATATATTTAACTTTTAAAACAGTCTTAAACTAAAAAAAGAAAAAAACAAATTAACTATTAAAAACTATTAATATTTTGTTTGAAACATCTTTTTGAGTTTTCTAAAGTTTAAACTTCAAAACTATTTTTAAACGTTTTTAAAAAATTTAAAAATATTCTTTAAACGTTTTTTAAAAACTTCACAAATATCTTATATTGGTTTAAAATTTTCAAAAATACCTTTAAATTTTTTTAAAAAATAAATTCAAAAGTATTTTTTTATTGTTAGTACAACATCTTAAAATTATTCCTAAATTTTTTAAACTAACATTAAAACTTTGTCGATAATCTATTTTTTAAATATAATAATAACAGTAAAAATATTTTTGAATGGTACGTTTATAAGTATACGTAACACAGAGTTCAAACTTTGAAAAGTACTTTTATTAATTTAGTTTTAAAAAAAAATATCCTAGGTAATGTTTCAAAAATACCCTTTAAAAAATATTTTTTAAAATTTCATTAATACTAACTTTTTTTTGAAACTTCAAAAATACCTTTAGATTAGTACAACGTTTAAAAAAAAAAACTTTAATTTTTATAAAAACATTAAAAAATTTAGATATAATCTATGAGGTGTCGGACCGTTTTGGTTCATATATTAATAAAAAAACAATGTTAAAAGTTTATGAATATTTTTTTAATTTAAATTGTTTTTTATAATTAATTTTAATGTAGGTTAAATCGAATCCTTTATCTGACGGCGGGAGAAATACGCCAAAAAAGAAAGATTTTATTTTCAATGGGTTCTGTTTCTTTTTTTAAATCCTGAGAACCACCGCGTCCGCCTTCCCCCTTTATAAATCCCCATTTTCCCTCTCTTTCTCCCCGTCTAAACCCTATCTTTCTCAATCTCTTTCTCCTCTCTCTCTTCTCTAATCTCTATCGCTTCCACTGTTCTCCGCCACGCGTTCCCACCTTCAATCCCTTCATCACCACCCTCCATTTTGATTCTCCTCCATGAAACCCCTCTTCCAATTCCGATTGCCTTTCCATTTCTGCCTCACCACTCACTACTGAGCTTCCATCCGTTTCTTTTTTCCAATTTCATTCACCATAATGGCCATTCCTTATCTCCCCAAATTCATCGCCTCCGACACCTCTTCCATGGTCGGCCCTCTCCTTGCTCCCTCTTCTGCGCCTCTTTCTCCGCCGATTTTCACTCAGGATGATTTTAAGAAGGCTGCCGCCTACAAGGCTGTCGAATTCGTTCACTCCGGTATGGTTTTAGGGCTCGGAACCGGCTCCACCGCCAGGCACGCTGTCGACCGGATCGGCGACCTTCTCCGACAGGGGAAGCTCAAGGACATCGTCGGAATACCTACCTCCAAAAAGACCTACGACCAAGCCGTCTCGTTGGGAATACCTTTGTCCGATCTCGATTCGCATCCTGTCATCGATCTTGCCATCGACGGCGCCGATGAGGTCGATCCCGATCTTAATTTGGTGAAAGGCAGAGGTGGCTCCCTCCTCCGTGAGAAGATGGTCGAATGTGTTTGTAAAAAGTTCATAGTCATTGTTGACGAGTCCAAGCTCGTCGACTTCATTGGCGGCAGTGGTCTCGCAATGCCCGTTGAGGTCGTGCCCTACTGCTGGAAATTCACCGCTGTTCGCCTTCAGAATCTCTTCAAGGACTCCGGTTGCGTCGGGAAGCTTCGAACCGTCGGAGAAAACGGAGAGCCCTATGTCACGGACAACGAGAACTACATCGTGGATTTATATTTCAATAAAGACATAGGGGATTTAAACGTCGCCAGTGACAGAATCTTGCGACTCGCCGGAGTGGTGGAACACGGTATGTTTCTTGACATGGCTACCACCGTCATAGTTGCAGGTGAGCTAGGAATTACAATAAAGGATAAGCAATAAGAACAATAGCAACCCATTTACGGGAGGAGCTTAGATTTGATCCATATGTTATAGAATTTCGATTTATTGTTCACTCTGATAGAAATTTATAGAAATTTGGAGAAATCTGGAGAAATCTGCATCATAACCTTTGAGTCTCTAAGAGGAGAAGAACTTTGATTACATAGAATCGCTTTGATTACATAATCAACGTTGAAATGAAGAGTCAGAACCAAACAGAGTAGCTGTGGCTATGAACATGACTGTCTTTGATTTTACAACTTGTTTAGAGAGATTAGCTGAGTTGAGAAGTGTCCAATGTTTGAAGGCTGTCATGTCATGTCAGGTCATGTTAGATTTGAATAGCAATAACTTATAAAAAATCTGCCCATCATTCTCAGTTTTGCTGCTCTGATTACTGTTCTTCACTTCCTCCTCCTCTTTGATTGAAATATTCAGCAACTTTGGATTAATCCAGCTTGTAACTTCAAATTCAGTTCTTGCCCTTTACTTCTCTAGAATTTGCAGCTCATCCAATTAGAAACAAGTGCATTTCAAAGAATGCATTGATACAAAGAAAAGGAAACAATGGATTGATATATTTGAAATGATGTTGATACAAGGATCGGGAACCTAGTCCGATCTAATTTTGTGGGGATGGAAAATGAAGAGGGTTGATGGATCATTCCCGAGTTGAACTATGATTAGAAGGCTAAATGAAAACAGACCTAAACAAACTTATAAAGCCCAATTCCTCTCCTCAGCTTTCATAGGCCCTATTTATTTAAACCACCTTCATTCTTTTGATTTTTTAATTTCAAAAGTAATTTTTAAGGTAGAAAATTTTACAAGTTTATGTTCTAATTTATTTTAATAAAAAAAAATAATGATGATTTTGATTATGGAAATGTTAAAGTAAACAGAGTGAGAAAGAGTGAGAAATAAGAGAGAAAAGAATGAACTTGGACACCAATTCATCTTTCCCTTCAACTTAATCCATGTTCAATCATTATATAATACCCACACATTTTTCTTTACTCCAATATATATATATAATTATAAAAAAGTTACTAATTTAGTCAAAATTTCATGTAAATAATTAAAATTATTAATGGGATACCAACAACTAAATAAAAATAGCTTATTATTAAAATTAATGATTGGGTGATGATTAATGGAAGTCTCCTATGAAGTCAATAATGAAACATGTTTGGTTCAACCACACCTCTCTACTTCATTTTGTGTATATATTTCTTTTTAAATATTTGGATTTATGGTTTAGGTATTATTCCCCCAAAAACTTCTTTTTCATAAAATAAAATTTACTTTTAAATTAATTTTTATCTATTTTTTCTCTTTTCGGTAATGGGTTTTGTATTTGTTAGGCCAAAATATCAATCAATTTAGTTTGACATTATATATGAGGCAGAGAATTCAAATTTTTGACATATTGATTGAAGATATATGCCTCAATTAACGAAACTATAATAAAGCTGACTTACACCCATTTCAATTTTAATAAAACTATCAAAATGTTATAAAGATAAGATAATTATATAATTTTAGATATTTGTCACCCTCATTTTTAATAAGATAATTATATAATTTTAGATATTTGTCACCCTCATTTTTAATCGGATAAAATATTTATTTTTTTATTTATTTATCAGGTATTGAATCTGTGCTAATTGTCAAATTAAATATGACACACCTTAATTGATGTACATTCTTTCTTTTGAAATCGTTTTAAATTTTGGACCCACTACATTTATTTTTCTCAAAAAAGTCTATTTCATTACTAAACATTAATGGAGAGATAAAATATAACAACTCCCATTTGACCTATAATTTTGCTAGGTTTTTTTAATTTTAAAAGGTTTAGGTGTCTTAATTTAAATTTAAAATGTTTAATCATTTTTAAAAAAATTTAATTTTTGGTCTGACATAATTTATACTTTTAAAATTAAAATTGAAATTTGTATCTACCAATTCCGGAAAAATAAAACCTTTTTTTTATTTGATTGAATTAAGGGTCTATAAAAAAAAAAATAGAAAATAGAAAATTACTTATTTATAACCTAATCTGTCATCGAAAATAATCTAAAATATAAAATTCAGGTCTCGTAATAAATTATGCATTAGAAATGATTCTAACAGAATCTCACAATTTCTTGATGTTTTTCATCGCAAAACATTGAAGTCATGCAACGATGCAGCTTATAAAACCACAAAACGGTGAGGTGAGGCAAAAATTAGAGCGAAACCAATCATGCCGCCCTCTCTCGACTTCTAAGATATGCGGATTAACGTATATGGGAAATGCACGCGAAGTGTTTGAAGAAATGCCAAGCTGAGAGAGATGCCCAAAAACCCATTTAATCTTCTTCCTTCCTTAAAACTCAGAGCAACATCGCAGGGCATAAAAAGGGTACCCGCTTTCTTTGCTTGTACAAAATTCCATCCCCTTCTTCTAAGTTTCTTACTCCTTTTTTTATTTGCTTCCCTTTTCTTATATTCTTCTTTCCTGTTTTTGATTCTTTCGTCTTTCTTCCTTCCTTTTCTCTTCTGCCTGTTTCTTCTCCTTTTCCTCTGTTTTCCTCTGTTTTCCTCCTCCTCCTTATAAACCTTTGCCCTCTACTTTTTCCTGTATATCTTTCCTAATGTTGTCGGTGGGGTTTTAAAGAGGATCCTGTAGTCTTTTTTTGTTGGGGTTTTTCTCATTTATCCTGTTTTGTCATTGCCTACATACATGTTGTTTAATCTCTAGCATAACCCATTAATTGGAAAGAATTAAAGGCTTGGTTTCTCATATCTCTATGCTGTTGGTCAGTTTAAATATTGTGAAATCAATTGTCCTGATATTGCGAGTTTCTTAGTATGGGGGATCACTTTGTTTTGCTGGTTGATCGGTTGTTGACGGAGTCGACATTAGGAGCAGCAATCGAGAGTCGAAGGCAGTTGATGGAAGCGACATCGTCTTCTTCCACAGATGATTTGAAGAGGAATAAGTCAACCTTAGAAATGGAGTTCGAAGATATACTTTCTTCAAAGAAAATGGTGGAATGTAGAATATGTCAGGATGAGGATGAAGACTCGAACATGGAAACGCCTTGCTCGTGCCGTGGTAGCCTTAAGGTTTGTTGATGAACTCATTTCTGATCATTGTATTGGTCTTCTTGTTGTGTTCTTCATGCCTTCGTGTTTGTGAACTTTGCACTTGATTCCAAATATGGAGCATAGAAACAAACTTCTTTGCATTTTTGGAAAGCAAGCTCATTGATATATGCCATAGTTGTCATTATAGTTCACTTCAGCAACACGGATACGTCATTCTAATGCACCATTATCTTGAAGTTTACATCTCCAACACAACTCTCAAGTTGTTAACTGTGCTGCTTTCTCGTGCATATATCCATTATATTTCTCCATACCCAAAAATCTTGTGCCACAATAGATTTCTCATGTAAGTTTACTTGACATGTTCCATTGGATTTTGCAGTACGCGCATCGAAGATGCATACAGAAGTGGTGTAATGAGAAGGGTAACACAGTTTGTGAAATATGCCAACAGGTGGAGTATGATGTTTTGTAGTTCTTTCCTCCTAGTTTTTGTCACTTTTTCAAGCAGTTCATTGATATAAGATTATAATCTATAGTGTAACAGCCCAAGTCTACCGCCAGTAAATATTGTCTTTTTTGGTCTTTCCCTTTCGAGCTTTCTCTCAAAGTTTTTAAAACGCGTTTGCTAGAGAGGGGTTTCCACACCCTTATGAAAAATGTTTCATTCTCCTCCCCTCAATGTGGGATCTCACAATCCAGACACTGTGCGGTGTACCAACAAGGATGCTGGGCCCCGAAGGGGGGTGGATTGTGAGGTCCCACATTGATTGGGGGAGAGGAATGAGTGCCAGCAAAGATGTGGGGCTCCAAAGGGGATGAATTGTATGATCCCAAATCAATTGGAGAGGGGAACGAGTACCAGCGAGGATGCTGACTCCAAAGGGGAGTGAATTGCGAGATCCCACGTCGGCTGGGGAGAAGAATGAAATATTTTTTATAAGCGTGTGTAATCTCTCCCTAACAGACGCGTTTTAAAAACCTTGTGGGAAAGCCCAAAAGGGAAAGCCTAAAGAGAGAACAATATCTACTAACAGTGGGCTTGAGCGGTTACCTATAGCAGCTTTGCCCGAGAATATCAGTTTGTTTAATGCAGTTTGTACAACAAAACTGAACAATGGTACTATGGTTTTTCAGCAATTCAAGCCAGGCTACACGGCTCCTCCTTCGTTATTTGAAATGAGACGTATCCCAATGAACTTCAGGTAATGTTCTTGCTATAATTCTTCCAAAGTATGATCTTTCCACTTTAACTTGAGAATTTCTTGAAGTTCTTTGATTGACTCTGTTTTTTCTTGCAGAGGGAACTGGGAGATGTCTAGAAGGGACTCGGATAGTCCTACCTATATAACAATGGTATCATCAAACCGTAATGTGGCTGATTCCGATTATGATGAGATAGCAGCTTCTGCTGCAAGCAGTGTCCTATGCTGTCATTCAATTGCTATCACCGTATGTTCTCTTTCTCCCTTGAAGCGTTTGTGTTAGGAAAATATCAAAACCTGAAGCGTTTGTTTCTCTTTTTCTTTGTAGTTCATGGTTCTTCTGGTGTTGAGGCACATTCTTCCCCTCATGTTTAATGAAACCAGTGATTACTCTTTTCCTATGCTTCTGGTAAGAAATCCTATGTTCCATTTCTGTTTTTCAACAAATGCAAGACCCCCAAAACTTCTATCAGAAAGTTGAATTATACTCCCTTCTATGACAGTTGATATGCCTGCGAATTTTCGGGATCTGCCTACTGATATACGTTATGTTCAAAGTCGTCACTGCGGTGCATCGTCGTCGACTTCTCGTACGTGCCCAGAACAATCCAATGCATCATCTCCTTTTACAGTTAACAAACATTTTCATCCTCTTAGTGATAATTCAAGTATGTTTATGGTTTCTTGTTTTTGGGTGACTATGATCAGCTGCCTACGTCTTCTAGCTCACCCATTAGTTCATCCAGCATAGCTCGGAGTTCGACGTCCCAATCGCCCCAACCTCAGCCTAACTTTATCCGTGTTTGATGAGTTTTGTACGAGCTTGGAGAAACTCGATTTCAAGGCTGAAAAACGGTGTAGCTGTGGTTATCCAATGCAAAAGGTTTCATGGCTGTGGCGTTTCTCAGCTTCAAGTGGAAAATCACATTGTAAAGGATAGAAGAGAGAATATTTATCAAGAAAAAAAATGCTCTTAGATGTTTGAAATTGTTATGCAGTTAATTAAATCATTACTCTTTTAGAATTTCTCTGTACAGATAGAGAGAGAAAATACAAAATGAAAGATATCTATATATCTATATATATCTATTCTCACCAACTTTGGTGCAAGGGGAGATTATTAAGATTTATTTTATTTTTAATAAGTAATATTAATTTAGATGATTTTATTTGCAACGTTTTAGTGTAATCCTAAATGGGATGTGATTGACATGAAAAGATTATGTTCCAGTAATAACCTAAAATGTCTAATAGTACATGGATAAGGTTGGATGTCTTAACCTGATACAACTCACCAAATTGTTATGTGAAGATACGTGAATCCTATATACAATGACTTTGTATAAGATTGGACAACTACAAAGTGTTTAATCTCTCTTTATAAATTAGTTAATTAAAAATATTATCATTTCACAATACGAGGATAGCCCTAGATTAGACTTTGTATAAGACTGGACTTGTGGGCAACCACAAAGGATTTAAGTTTTATTTTCTATTTAAGTTGTAGCCTTAGGTTAGATTTGGTGAGGATATTTTGTTTTTACGTGGTTTACCATGTGCATCATATTTGACCATTGATGGCTAATATCTTGTATTAGTGAGAATATTAGTCTTCCATTATGGTTTACCATATGTATCATATTTGTCATGGATCATATGTTAATATTGTATCATTTATTTCTCTTGGTCATAGGCTAATATCATGTATTTATTTATTGCTCTTTCCATTTCATTTGTAATATATTTGATTCCGTAAATGATTATAAATAGAGAACTTCCACCGCTGTTTAGTTGTAGAGGTTTTAACAAATATTATTATGGTATTAGAGCCCTCTAGTTTAGCAACCTCAATCCTTTCTTAGCTTAGCTTATGAATCCTCTTCTTCATTTCAATACTCTAATACATATGACCACCATCAAACTTTCTTCGTCCAAATATTTGTTTGGGAAATCCAAATATCCTTGCGAGTCAAGTAGGTTGGGCTACATTGATGGAACTCTGGTTTCACCACCTCGCTTTGAACCAACAACCTCCTCAACACTCAACACCAAATATTTAGCGTGAAAAGCAGTCATCGACGACTTCTCTGTCTCCTGCTCTCTTCTCTCACCGAGGAAGCTATTGCTGCCATCATTGGTCTCTACACTGCTCGTGACATTAGGCTCACGTTGAAGACTACGTTCAGCCATCATTCGAAAGCCTGTGAACTAAGACTCAAGGATGACTTGTAGCTGATGAAACGTAGCACCAAACTTGTTGTTGAGTATGCCTGTACCTTCAAAACAATATGTGACCAACTTCATGCCATTGGCAGACCTGTTGAGGATATTGATAAAGTGCACTAGTTCTTTCAACATTTTCTGCTACTCAAATGACTCTCACCCTATCTCCTGTTTTGCAAATTTAGTCTCAAAACGGAAAGTTTTGAGTTGTTCCAGCTCTACCTTGAGTCTTCTAATTCCACTCTTGCAACATTCCTACGCACTATGGTTGCACTCATGGAAGTCACGTGGCTTCCTTTAACAACCAACGAGGTTCTTATTTCCACACCAACTCTTCCAACCAAGGATGAACCCACTCGAGTCAGGGTCGTAGACCACCTCTCTTCCAACCGAGGATGAATTCACATATTTTTGTGCAAATTTTCATTTTAATAATTCAGTGAATAAAAACAACCTAAAAATAGTGAGCACCATAATTATCCTAGCTCGAGCAAAGCCACATGATTTCTAGTCGTGCCCATAACAACTCTGACTTGTCCCTAAAATAGAAACAAAAATAAGCCCATCAAATGGGGAAACAAAAATATAATATTATTTAAGTAAAAATAGTGAGGGACAAAATTATCCTACCTTGGGCAAAGCTCACGTGACTTCTAGTCCTACCCGATAACAGCTCCGACTAGCCCACTAAATGAGAGAAACAAAAATATAATATTTTTCAAGTAAAAATCGTGAGCGGCATAGTTATCCTATCTCGAGCAAAGCCCACATGATTTCTAGTCGTGCCCGATAATCACTACGACACACCCACTGAATGAGATAAACAAAAATTTGCCCACATAATTTCTAGTCCTCGCCGATAACAACTCTGTCACGCCCACTTAAGGAGAAACCTCATAACAACTCTCACACGCACACCAAATTAGAGAAACAAAAATATAATATTATTTTTTAATTTAAAACATTTTTTTTTTGTGCAAATTTTAATTTTAATAATTTAGTGAACAAAAGCAACCTAAAAATTGTGAGCTATATTTCCTTTCTGGATAAAGCCCAATTGATTTCTAGTCCTGCTCGAAAAAAACTTACGTGAGTGGTAAGATTCGAACCTACGTGGGCAAATCTCACATGATGTCTAGTCATGCCTAATTGATTTTTGAACGCTTTGTTCCATCTATTTTGGATAAGTCTAACAATTACACGGGTACAAACTCTGTGATAGTAGGAAACAGTGCCTTCCTACCCATTACCCACACTCTACTTTTTCTCCTATCCCAAATATTCACTTAGATGTCTTGGTTGTCCCTCGCCTCATTAAAAAATTTCTTTCAATTAGTAAATTAACACATGTTTTTTCTCTCTTCGTTACATTTACTAATATTCTTCTTATTGTCCATAATAGTTAAACAGGAAGGGTGGTAATTCTTATTGGATGATCATGATACTTCCCAAAAATTGAAATTCTTGATCAATGGAGGAACAATATCACCATTTTTGTTCAATAAGATGCCAAAGTGGAGGATTGACCAAAATCTTTATTTTGTTATTCCTTTTTTAAGTAAAAAGGACCTCTTTCTCTTACATGTGCACCTCTTTCTCTTTCTCTTGCATGTTTATTGTATATCTGTCACTGTGACCGTCCCCTTCCGAAAAGTCATCATTTGCCTTATTCTCGCACTGAACCTAGGTCGTCCCAATGTATTAGATCTTATTCATTTGATCATTGAGGTTCTTCCTCCATCAAATCCAATTTGAATTTTCTTTACTATGTTATTTTTTATTTATGATTATTTACGATTCACTTGGCTTTGCCATTTAAAATTTAAATATGATTTCTTTGATATTTTTCTTCCATCTCAAAAATTTAAATATGCCTATTCCAAACGTCCACCCTGTATTAGGTGGGTGAACTACTGCTTCTTGAGTCGGGCTACCTTTGGATAGTACTGCTTTAGGAATGCCTCCTTGAACCGGGTCCATGCTATAAAACTCCTATCAGGGCAGAGAATTTCCTTGTTATCCGTCCACCATAAATTTGCATTCTTCATCAGCATGAATGACACACATGACACTTTCTGATCATCTAAGCATTCCATTAATAGAAATAACGTCTCCACTGACGATAACCACATTTGAGCTGGGTCTCTCGTGGTTCCACTAAATGTGCGTGGGTCATACTACTTAAAGTCTCATAAATATCTCGCTCCTCTAGTAGATTGTGAGCTATTGGCTTACTGAGTAGCCACCATAGCCTGCGACTGTCCTAGTCATTATGGCCTGGAATGATTCCCACATCAGAGTTGTAGTATGATCTATTCCAGCCGTCGGTGCTGTTGGAGGTGACGTAGATTGAGGTGACACAACTTGTAGTGGCGCAACTACGTCTGTCCTAGTCACTGAACCTTCACGAGGTGGGCAATCTTTACCCCCACCTCTTCCTCTTCCTCTGACAAGGGGTCATCTCCTTCCTCACGATCATCTGGGTGGCATGGTTCTAAAAACTAACACATAACTTTTACTTAATCCAACTTGCTAACCTAAAATATAGCGAACATATCAACATGAAACTAGATCAACCATCATGCTGCATTATAATTAGGGTGTAATAGTAGAAAGCAATCATAGTAATTGCGATCAAAACATGTGTAGTACTAGAAAGCAATCATGATAAATGCGATCAAAATATTTCTTTTTCTTATCTTATGCATGATACACATGATGATGATGGGGCATTGACGGTTGGACCATGAAACATGTCAAGCCTACTTCGTAGGCTAGTCTACATAATATATAATCTAGAGTTCTGATATCAAATGTAACGACCTAAGATCTCTACTTTATCCTAAAGGTATCGCATAATTCTTTTATGTCACTACAACAAATACCCTCTTTTATAGCTTTTTTGTATAGCATTTTTTAAAAGATGCTATAAATTAGAAAGAAAATAAAGGCGTTTTTTTTTTTTTTTAATGTTATCCCTGAAAACCTAATCACGCGTATAAAAGCCTTCCTTTCTTTTTCTCTCCTTTTCCCTTTAGGCACCCATTTTCTCTTAGACTCTCGGGCAAAACCAAATCTCGCCTTCTTTCTCTCGCGCAACAATCCATCCTTCCGTCTTTGGTGCTTCAAAATTTTTCCCTCAAGATCCATCATTCTTTCTTTCTGCTTCAAAATTTTTCTCTGATTTGCATCAGATCTCAAGAGAGAGAAAGTTAGTTGTTTTTTTTTCCTTTTTATCTTCTTTGTTGGCTCACTTTTCATTGATGAATTATTCTAAGTGTTTCATCTCTGTGTCTTCTTTTTTAATTTCTTTTTTAATGTAGTTCTGTGAGTTAGATTGAAGGATCGAACCGAACTACTACTACATAATGCAGTTTTTCATTTATATTTAGTACACACTAATGAACTTTTGTGAGTTTGGTCCCTTGGTCCTTCATTAAGTAATGTACTTTACTTTTAAGTGTGTATTTTCCTACATGTATAATTTTTCTTTGAATGTAGATTGGTGAGTTCTGTGAGGTAGATGTGGCTGTTTTCTTGTGTTAAAAGGTTGAATGTAGTTTCGTGAGTTAGATCCACGAAATAAAAACATAATACAAGAAACTATCTTTATTTTTCATTGTGTTTGTTCAATCAATACATGCCCAAATTGAGGAACCACACGAAGATTACAAACAAAAAAAATAAGCCTAAGAGTACAAAGAAATTAAGTTTAGAGGAATTTGTTAATTCATAGGTTATTTCAAGCACATTCTACATGTAGGAATGATTTTTGTTAACGGACTACATATTCTGCAAGTTGCAAGTATCAAGTAGTAGGAAGAAGTTTATGTGTGTATTGATGTGCTGCATATAAATTCCT